TTTGGATGAGGAAGTGCAGGGCACAATTATCAGATTTGCAGATGACACAAAACTGGGGTGGGGGGACAGCTAACACCCTGGAAGACAAAAAAGATTCAAGGTTATCTTGCAAGGTTGGAGTGCTGGGCTGGCTGAAAGCAACAGAACACAGTTCAACAGGGACAAATGCCAAATTCTGCACCTAGGAAAAAGAAACCAAATGCATTGTTACAAGATGGGGAATACTTGGCTCAACAAAACTGCAAGTAAGAAGGATCTTGGAATTGTTGTAGATCACAACCTAAACATGAGTCAACAGTGTAATGTGGCTGCAAAAAGGGCAAAATGGTGGTTGGAGCATTTGCTCAATGGGAGAAACACAAAAACCATATGGAAAAATTGTAATGGGGTCAAATATAACAACAAGCCATGGTGAAGCATGGAAAACCTACAATAAACTGTTGCTTCCCCACAAGGTTTCATGGAAACCAAATGTGCCACGTTTCGATATAGACCCTGTATTCACACATAATGACAAGCCATGTCCGTGAATTCAGCATAGGTGTATAGGTGAGGGCTAGAGTTCAGAAACAAAAAGGGGCACAGGAAGAGAGTATTTGAATCAGCATGAAAGTATCTCTACCATAGTGCAAACATAGCCCAGAAAGGTGGTTCCCTTCACAACCGTACCTGCACCTCTACTGTTCATGCTGGAAAGTAAGCTTTTGCACCTTGTGAAAATGGCGGCATTTTGGTTGTAATATGTACAACATAAAAGCCAACACAAAGCTTCCTATAGCAAGGAAAGTGAGCGATAAAGCATAGATACAGAATACTATTACCAACAAACTGACATTTGAGCAAATCTTTTCATAAACATTCTTTACTAAGCAAAAGTCCGTTTGTGCAACATAACCCAATAGATAATGATCAATCACACACCTTTCAGTGTGGAATCATTTCAAGGGTTGCCTTCATTGGATCAGTTCATCGTTGGTTTGTTTTCTCTGGGAGGAAAAATCACAAGTAGTCTGAAACAAAAGAGGTAGCAGGATTCTGAGGGAGCCAGGCACATTCTGGCCTGGGGTCCCAGGACAAAAGCTCACTCTGTGCTGCCTGTTCAAGAAAACCTGGAAAGTGTGTCTAAGGGCAGCAAGGAGGAGAGCAGAGTTGTCACACTTAAGGAAGGAGACATTATGAGGAGAATATGAACCCTGATAAAAGGCCCAGATCAATTCTTATGCAGACAGGAGGGGTTTTGAAATATGAAGGGAAAGACTTCCATTTGCAGCTAAGAGATAAGATGCTGAGGCCCAGTAAGCAGAGTTGGCAGGGTGAGAAAGGGAAATGATAGTTTGACAGAGAGAGAGAGAAAGGAAGAAAGGGTTAGGGCCAGTTGTACAGAAAGAAAAGCCACCTCATGTCAAGAAGGCAGATGGCATGGTATATTACAGATACCATATTCCCCTTAAGTTTCAAGGGATTCCCTAAAATACCCTCCTCCTCCGGTGAGCATTTTTGGGGAAGGCTGTCTTAGGACAAGAAAGGGATCAAAAGCAGAATCTGAAATAAACAGAAATTGTTATGAGCAACATGGAGTATATAGGAGGATTGTTGCATAGGCTGAGCTGGGGGAAGACAGTGTGGATGTTGGTTATTCCATGCCAGGAAAAGGCAGGCTGAGGGGCCGGTCCTACCATTAGGCAGGGTGAGGCAGCCACCTTGGACAGCTGGTTGTAGAATTCAAGAAATTATATTATTATTTATTTAATTATTTCCCAATGGATGAAGGTCCCTGGAAAGTTCACAACAATTCACAAAAATTGCAAACCACAGATACAAAATTATAGTAAAACATAGCATACCATTTTAGCATACAAAATGTTAAACAATGTAAACAACTAAAAACATTTCAATAAGCAATTTCAATATTAGAGCTGTTCAAGAGAGCTGACATAAATAGCCCAACAGAGGCCATTCATTGCTTGGGAATAGAAGGCAGTCTTACCATGGTGCCAAAAAGTTGACAGTGTTGCCACCAAATGTTCCTTAGTGTTGGCACCAGATGTTCCTGAGTGGGCAGATCATTCCAGAATTGGGGGGTCAGCACCGAGAGGGCCCTGTTCCATGTTGCCGCCACCTGAGCAAATGGCAGCAAATTGCTGGATATTTCATTAGTGTTTTAAATTTACTGCCCTAGGCAGGATGAAGAAGGCACCTTGGAGAACTTCTGTCTCAGGTGCTGAAATAATTTGACCTGACATGGATGCTGTATATCTTGATTGGGAAAGGTGCTATTTGATGTTTCACTTCATGCACCAAAATATCTTGGGCCAGCCCTGGCCTGGAGAGGTGATTCTGTTAATTCTCCTGGACCTCTTGACAGCTTTGAACACAATCAGTATTGGCCAGCTGATATGGGGGGGCTGGAGCACAAGCTTTGTTTGTTTGTTTGTTTAAAGATTTTGTATCCTGCCCTTCACAGTGGTGGCCAGTTTGAGAAAGTAGAGCTGGTAGCTTTCCTGTGGGGGTTTCCAGGGTTCAACTTTATATCCAGGGCTGCTGAATGTCATGGAACTATTGAGCAAAGTTATCTTGAGATTTGGGGTTTGGTGGTCATTTTTTGATGTTACCCAGCTGTGCTATTTCTTTTCATCCAACTTGGCTGACACTGTCCAAATGCTTAACTGCTTGGGATTGGCAATGGTAATTGCTTGTGAACCAGTAAACTGCCCCCAACCCTGACAAGACAGAAGGTTGTTGCTAACTGATATGTCTCGCCTAGAAAATGGTGCATTGCTTCTTCTAGACAAGGTTAAAGATCAGGTTGACAGTCTGTGGGTTCTCTTTGATCCAGTCTTATCCTGAAGGACTAAGTGGCCTAGAGTGTACAAAACCCCCTTACCAATTGAGGGTGGTGTGCCAAGTACAATATTGTCTAGACATAGGTAGCCTTGCCACAGCTATCTTTGGGTTGTTGCATTTGTTTTCCCCCTTTTTCATGAAAGTGTCCACTGTATTCATCCATCTTACTCTTGGGGAAAGGTACATAGAAAGGCAACCGAAGTAGCTGCATTTTGTTGATACCAAAATCTATGAGATTTTAATGGGATTTTAACTTGTTATAGCCAACTTGTTCCACTGATTTAAATGTGAATGAGGTACAACTAACTCACTTGTGATCCAAGCTAATGTCTTCATTGCAAGAAGCAACTTAAGGAGTTCAATCTGAAAATAAAGTTTAAACATTTCCTTATAATGTATTAGAAATTCTCCAACTTTGAATTGTCAGCTCATCTCAATATATGCAAAGTAAAGAAAACAGTAGCAGGATTAAAATATTTATCAAACACTTATTTCAATACATTGTGTTCTTCCAATCCAAAATTTATCAGTCAGAGCAGGACTGGGACTCAGATCCTCAGCCCCACCACAGTATTCCAATGCACCCAATATAAAGGTGCAATCCTATACATGATTATGCAGAGAAAAAAAATCCTACAGATTTCAAGATTTCCACTTGAATTCTGCTGCAACAGGCATATAGAAATCCACTGCCTTTGATGCTGGAAGTCATATACAATCATCATGAAGAGTAGCCTTTGATAGTCTTACCTTGCATAAATTTTGTGCAATCCCCTTTTAAAGACATCCGATTTAACGTCCACTACTGTAATGCTCCACAGCATGGTTCCTGTGGAACAAATGGCACCAGATGGCCCAAGCAACCAAGCCAGGCCTCTTGTTCAAGAGGAAAGCTGTAACTTCCTAGGGTCCAACTTCCTAGGGTCAGAATGTTTCCAGGCGGAGGGCTACCACTGAAAAGGCATTGTGCATCAGTGCCATCTTTTCTTTTTTAATGCAGTCAGAAAAAAACATGGGAGAATGGTTGGTCCCCTTGTTAATCTTCCTGAATGAGACTTGGTGACAACCCTATAAAAGTTTCCTTAAGTACCCTGGGACTTCACATGAGCAAGATAACAGCTGCCAGATCTTCACCAATAGAATTTTTTCTAGGGAGGTGTGTGTGAGCATACGTGGGCATGCAAACATGGCATAATTCTGCCTCTAGATTCCTTTTCAAAGTGGGCACAAACCAAGCTTAAGTCCAAGGCTCCTGTCCCAGATTCCAATGTGTATCTGGAGTAATAAAACCAATGAGATGTGCCTCCCAGCCTGGAGAGAAAAGTGATCATGGCCAGCCTTCCACACGTCTAGCATGAGGAGGCAGGACTTCTACGTTAGGGGAACAGCTTCCAGATATGATTCAACACCTCATCCACTCTATAGAAAAATGAGAGCAAGCAGTTTTGTGAACCATTTATCCCCCTATCAGGTGACCCCCTGCCTCTTACGCGGCAGTGTTTAGAACCGGAGGAGATCAGCAGCGAAAGGACTAGGACTGGCTAAGCAAAGGGATGGGGTGGGCGGGTGGGGGGATTCATGAGCGCTGCCCACTGTGTTCCAGGCAGTTTTGTGTGTGTTCTGGCTGGAAAGTGCACAGAGAGGAGAAGCGGTGCGTGACACTTTGTGAGAATTTGGGGAGGAGGAGGGCGTTTTGCTACCCGCACAACCAAGGTAATCTGCCTGCTAATAATTTAGACTGGAGGTGTATAACCATCATTCAAGATAAATTATTTCTCCTTAAAAGCAGCCACAAGCTTGCGATTGGGGTGATGGCGGGGCGGGGGGGAGAGATTTGGCGTCTGATTCGTGAACAAGTTATTTTTTTTCCTCCTTCGGTGGTGGCTGACCAATCCTAGAAAGAAAGGGAGGGGGAGGAAGGCTGGTCCCTGCGTTTGAATCTGATTGGGTGAGAAGAAATTTTGGGAAGGGGCTTAGGCAGCCTAGGTCTCTTTGATGGAGATGGGAAAGGGGAAAGAGAAGGGGCCGGGCTGGAATTGATTAAGTTGGGAGGAGTAAGAGGAGAAGGCTGGGCGAAACTCAACTCAGCCCGGGGGCCCTCCTTTGAAACAGACTAATTGGGGAGGGAAGACACAAAGGGAAGCGAAAGGCGCTCGGAGAGTCGCGCTGCGAGGGAGCGTTCCCGCTGGGTGAGTGGATTTGCCTTCCCCAGGTCTCCGCGGCGGATTCCAGAAAGCTTGGAAACTTTTGCCAGGACTAGGGGCTCAAAGGGAGTGGCAGGTCCCAGCTTGCCTGGGGAGGAGACAAGGCGACTGGGTGTCCGTCGGAGCGGAGGGGGGGATCACCATGCGCCTTGCCCACGCGTCCTTGGCCCACTGCCTGCTGCTGCTGTTGGGACCCTGCTGGGCCCAGTTCCATGGAGAGAAGGGCATTTCCATCCCCGACCATGGCTTCTGCCAACCTATCTCCATCCCACTGTGCACTGACATTGCCTACAACCAGACCATCATGCCCAACTTGCTGGGGCACACCAGCCAGGAAGACGCTGGCTTGGAGGTCCACCAGTTCTACCCCTTGGTGAAGGTCCAGTGCTCCCCAGAACTCAAGTTCTTCTTGTGTTCCATGTACGCGCCAGTGTGCACCGTCCTGGAGCAGGCCATCCCGCCATGCCGCTCCATCTGCGAGCGGGCACGCCAGGGCTGCGAAGCCCTCATGAACAAGTTTGGCTTCCAGTGGCCGGAACGACTGCGCTGTGAGAACTTTCCCCGCCATGGGGCAGAGCAGATTTGCGTGGGGCAGAACCATTCGGAGGAAGGGGGCTCCCCAGCACTGATCACAAGCGCGACTCCCATTGCTGGGCAGGGCACTGCAGGCCCCCCACGCTATGCCACCCTTGATCGCCCCTTCCACTGCCCACGAGTCCTCAAAGTGCCCAACTACCTCAACTACAAGTTCCTTGGAGAGAAGGACTGTGCTGCACCCTGCGAACCCGCCAAGGGTGATGGACACATGTTTTTCAATCAGGAAGAGATCCGTTTTGCTCGAATCTGGATCCTTATCTGGTCTGTTTTGTGCTGTGCCTCCACTTTCTTCACTGTCACCACCTACCTGGTTGATATGCAGCGCTTCCGCTACCCAGAACGGCCCATCATCTTCCTCTCAGGCTGCTACACAATGGTATCTGTGGCCTACATTGCAGGATTTGTGCTGGAGGAGCGTGTGGTGTGCAATGAGCGCTTCCAAGATGACGGCTACCGGACAGTGGTACAGGGCACCAAAAAGGAAGGCTGCACCATACTTTTCATGATGCTCTACTTCTTCAGCATGGCCAGTTCCATCTGGTGGGTAATCCTGTCTCTCACGTGGTTCCTTGCTGCTGGCATGAAGTGGGGCCACGAAGCCATAGAGGCTAACTCACAGTATTTCCATTTGGCAGCATGGGCTGTGCCAGCGGTCAAGACCATCACCATATTGGCTATGGGGCAGATTGATGGTGACCTTCTGAGTGGTGTCTGCTTTGTGGGGCTCAACAATATAGATCCACTTCGGGGCTTTGTTTTGGCTCCGCTCTTTGTCTACCTCTTTATTGGCACTTCCTTTCTACTGGCAGGCTTTGTATCACTTTTTCGTATCCGGACCATCATGAAACATGGTGGCACCAAGACGGAGAAGCTGGAGCGCCTCATGGTGCGCATTGGAGTCTTCAGTGTCCTCTACACAGTGCCAGCAACCATTGTTATTGCCTGCTACTTCTATGAGCAGGCCTTTCGTGAGCACTGGGAACGGAGCTGGATTAGCCAAAACTGCAAGAGTCTGGCCATTCCCTGCCCACTTCAGTACACGCCACGTATGACCCCTGACTTCACTGTCTACATGATCAAGTATCTCATGACTCTCATTGTGGGCATCACCTCAGGCTTCTGGATCTGGTCAGGAAAAACACTTCATTCCTGGAGAAAATTCTATACAAGGCTAACTAACAGCAAACATGGGGAGACTACAGTCTGAAAAGGGATGACAGAGGTAGTGAGGAGCCCAGGTTGCCAGCTGAAATGTTTCAAACAAGCAAGCAAACAACAAATCAAATGTGCCCCCCTCCAGGAGCTGTGTGCATGTGGGAGGCGTTCTTTGGGGAAACTCTGGAATTTGCGGGGTGGAGGTTGCGTTCTGCCGAACTGGGACCTCCCCTGGCAATTTGAGAGAAACAGGCACAGAAGGAAAAGAACGAGGGAGAGAAACTGAAGTATTTAAAACTGTCTCCTTTAATTAAAACAAAAGTGAAGCTTTTTTTATTTAGGTTTTTATTAACTATTAAAGGGTGTCATTTTTGTAATTAAAATTGTAAATAGCACTTGTAAATTGAATTATATATTTCTATTTAAAAGAGAGACTGAGAACACCAGCAGCAATTGAGAAACAGAGAGAGAGAGAGAGAGAGCGAGAGAGAGCGAGAGCGAGAGAGAGTCCGAAAAAAAGAAAGCTTTTTCCTTTGGGTACTATTTTCCCCCTTTGATTCTGCCATAGCCTCCCCTCTCTACGGAGCCATGAGGACTGCATGCTGTTTGGCTTGGCCCTTAGCAGGACATTTTTTGCTTAAACTTTTCGTAAGAGCCAGGTTTGGAATTGCTTCCCCTACCCCCACAAAACACATATCCCACCAACACCCCATTGGAGACTATAGTTCTTGGTATGGTTCCAGGAAGACTTCTTCCATCTCTCTCATTTTTTTCCTCTCTATGTTGGAAGGTTTACAAGTAATTCTCTGTATCTATGAAAATGAATTTTGGGTGGGGAATGTGAGCCTTCTCCCCTTTGCTGAAAGTTGGGCCCTGGCTTTGAAGATCTCCTTATGGTTATTCCTGCTAAAGAATTGTTACTTCCAAGAAAGGGTTTTCTTGCCTTAATCTGCAGAGTTCTCTTTCTGTTGCATTTGTAGATTTCTATTTTTCCTAGTCGTTTTGTATAAAAGGTGTCTTTTTAAAACTACATTTCTTTTATTAAACAGCCTTGTTCTCTGCAAATTCAGTTTGCGTTTTTTCAAAAACAGCAACAGCTTTCAAAGACGTCTATTTATGAGATGTCCTTCACTCAAAACCTATATACTGTTAGAATTTTGTGATGCATACTTACAGAATTTCAGTTTATCAAAAATAAGGATGTATTTTTTCTTAAAGAAAGGGGCTGTTTAAAAAGAACATTCAGATGGACTTGGCATTTTAGAGAATGTAAGGATAATTATTTTTCCCTGGACTTAGAAAAGCTATTTGCCTTTTGAGAAGCAACGGACCCTTTTTTAATCAGAGGTTCTTTCCCCCATTCCTTGCCAAAAAGACAGATAGACAGACAGACAGAAAGAAATGTCTATTTCTGCTCTATTTTTGTCATGGACTTGAATTCAAAATGTTAACTAAGCAGCTCAACCTATAGCTTCACATGTGATCATTCTTAATCAAAAAGCACTTCTTAGGAAATGGTATAAAACTGGTGTTAGCTGCATGTACATTTTGCATTTTTCTGTATTGGGAAGCTTGGGAAGGACTGGGCTGTTGCTGTATTCTTTGTCTCTTTTTAGCCTCCAAGTTAAACCTCCTGTGCCTATACCCCAGTAGAGAGACGGTAAATGTAACAGCCTGATCCTATACATTCTTGCTCAGGAGTCTTACCAAATTCAATAACTCTTAGTATCAAGTAAATTGCTGCCTAAATTTAGGAAGTATCTCAAAAGTGGAAAATGAATTCACTGTGTAAAAATCTGTAGCCATTATTTTTAAAGTGACTTAACAAATGTCGTAAATAACTCTTCAAACTATTTCCCATTTCTTTTAGATTTCTTCATGAAATTTAAATATTGGGTTTCAGTCAAAATTCATTCCTAGCTATGCATAAACTTATACATGAAATCATTTCTGTTATTAAACTAAACTTCTCAAAAGGATTTATTGAAGTCACTCCAGTCCTAATCAAAATAATTTAGAAATATCCATCCATTTTTGTGGGATGATAACACCTTTTGTAATTTATGCTGAAGCAAGCTGTTCTAAGAACCAAAGACCACATCTCTGCTTTCAGTAACTTCTCGCCCTCTCTTCAAACTTCGAAAAATAAGGGGGAAGGGAATTGCCACTGGCATGGATTTTAAAAGTAGTGAGCTAAAATTTCCCACCTTAGATTCACTACAATTTTTCAGGAGTAGTTGCATGTAAATCCCTCCTCCTGTAGCTTCCTGCTTGTGATAGAGGCATAATTCTGAAATTGGTCTTGTATTGCGACTGCTGTTCGTTCTGTTTTCCTTCCTATGTAACGCAGCAGAGATTTAAAACTTTGGATAGACACTTGCCCTTCACACCAAACTGTTCATGAAGAAAGCAACTTTGTTCTGCAGCTGAGACCAACACAAACAAGGGGAACATGACGTAGAAAGGAAGTTGCATAGCGAGGGGGGTGGCAATACAATTGTGCCTTCTGCATTTTAAGCCTGTTTAATAGAACGAGGGTGAAAAAGGCAACCTCCAGTTCTCACCCCCACCCCTTAGACACACAGTTCTTCAGAGAAGAAAGTGTGGTTTAAAGCCAAATGTGACTAAAGCAAACCAGATGGACACTGGAAGGCTCGAAACAGATGTCCAATATCAAAGCAGTTTCCATTTTGGAGAAGGTCTCGGGCCACATTCTGTGGTAGACTGGGCCAAAAGTAAAAATGGTGGGACCAAATGACAAGCATATTGTAGCTTCAAGTGCTTACTGTCCCTGACAGGCCTTAGGAGAGTCAGGTCAACATTTTCAACCTGAGGAAAACTGCATAAAAGCGAAGCAGTTGATGGCTGGGAGACAGGAAAGGGGCAGGACCTTTATGGGGAGCCTTGGAGGGCTGGGTTTGGTCATCAGGCCTGAAGTTTTGCATCTCTGAGCTCAGCAGAAGGACTCATTCCATCTGGGCTTTAAAAAAGACTTTTAATGGGATGGTGCACCAAGGAAAGGATTGTAACTTGAGGGTCACAACCATGCATTGCCATGTAGAAGGTTCCTTGCTGAACTGTCAGCAGCTCCAGGTTGGGTTGGAAGAATTCCTGCTTGAAACCTGGACAGAGTTACCAGTATTGGCAACCAATAGTTTGAAAAGGACAGCTTCCACGTTGGTTTTTCTCTTGTGCTCTTAGCTTTTTGCTATGCCAGTTAAGTCTGCCAGTGCCACTATCCCTTTTCTCCAGTTAAGCATACTTCTCTCCCTCACCACAAAACTTGTCATTACTGGAGGCTCTGAAGTGGGAGGTCCTTTCCACAGACTCCCAGATCCATAGGATACAACAACATCTTGTCCAAGGATTTCAGCTACAAATGATTTTTTTTTTCCTTAACAACAAAAAGGTGCCTTTCCCTCCACAGCATGCACCCTCACACACACTGCAAATAAATATAGCTGACACTATTTGGGGAAGCCTCCTAGCTTTCCAGTTGACATCAGTGTCACAAGCCTGTGCAGCTACGGAACTCTCTTGGTGTTATCAGCTGCTACTCCATAGGATGACGCCCAAAGTTTCGCAATACAGTCTTTCTCCATTTTTATTCTATAAGAATTACATTTAATCTTTCTGCATGGCTCTTTTTCCAGCACCCATCCCCCCCACCTGCCTTATGAACTCTGCAAAAGCACCAACAGATGGATCTCATTAGTTTCCTTTTTGGCAAAGGTAGTTCAGCTGCCCGCCCCACACAAGTAGGGACTACACCCAAACTTTTTGCACCCCCCACCCCCCGTTCTGAGTCCTGTGGACAGAACACTGCAACGTGGACCCAAAGGGAGCGGAGAATGGACTTCCTCTGCCAAGGAATGTTGATCCTTGGGTTTAACTCCCCTCCCCCATGTTTTGTTCTTAATTTAATCCTTCTGGTTTTGTAAGCCTAGAAAAACAAGACCATCTAATGTCAAGACAGTTTATATCAGGCGTGTGTGCACGTATATTTTAACAAAGGCCTGAAAACTTCATCCATTCCTCTTTCCTCTGGTCCTGGATTTGCAGCCCCGTACTGCCCTTGCTTGCTATATTTAAATTACAGTGCCAATTCTGCGGGGGCGCAGATGTTGGAAGAAAGTATTGGAACAGAGCTGGAAATTAAACTTTTGCTACTGCACTCACATTTTTCAAAACTTTAATTGAACAGTTATCCCCTCCCCTGGCCCCAAAAGAAGTTGTTTAGGGTATTTCTGTGTTCCCACTTAAAGTTGACACACAGGCTTTGAAATGGAGATTGCTCCCCCAGCAAAGTAGCAGCCTGCTTAACACATTAGGACTCCCAGCTGCCAGGCAAAGGGAGAAAAGCAGAGAGGTTTGATCTGAGCAGAGTAGATTCCCCCCCCCCCCGCCATGCACACACATATTGGTGTAAGACAAGAGTGTGGGGCTGTTTGTGCAATAAACTGTTACAGACCTGGAGCTATTGGGAGGTGGGGGTGGAATATGAAATTCCTTTGCAGCAGACGGAAAGGCCGTCCAGTTGTGCAGACAAAAAAGCCCTTCTTTACATGACTCACAGTTGCAACGAGTCAACCAGAGCTGTTTAATGAAATAGCGTGAAGGAGGGGCTGGTGAGCAACAGGGTTCCCAACCAGGCTTCAGTTCCAACTCCCATCAAGACAGACTCTGGAGAATGGAGCAGCTGCTTTCTCTCAACTTTGCCACCATATCCTCAGCAACAGCTTGATCCTGCCGAGCGTCCTTTGCTCAAAGGGCCCATGGAAGCTCACAAACTTTTAATGGGGATGCTGGGATATTTTGCTGAAAATTCAGGCAGGGTCCTATGGGGGTGGGGGGTAAATTCCCATTTCCAAAGTGTTATGGGGGGGGGGGGAATTGCCTATCTCATCCAGAGCAGAATCCGCAACTGACAACACTAAACCCTACCCATACAACAGCTAAAGTGTTAGGTCAGAGTGCAGCAGCCCCTTTCCAGAGTTAAGACCCCCATGTGAAGTGTGTGAATCCCACATGTAGGCTGGCAACAGAATGTAAAAAGTGGACCCTAACTATTTCTCTCAGCTGCACACTGCACCTGGCTTTGGAACAGAAGTGACAGGTGTGCATTCCAGCAAAGTGAATGCTGGCTGATTCCCTGGCCCTTCCTCTTATGCTTCAGGTGGGCATTTTTTATTTTTAAAAGCACCTCATGACTATTCAGGCATGTAACTATGGAATGTATTCCCTTAGCAATAGCACAGCACTTTAAAGTACCAAACGGCTTCAGGGATTCTGGTGGATGGAGATTTCTTAGGGAAGCCACAGAGGATGGAGATGTGGGGAGGAACCGAAGTAGCACAGTGCTTACGGCTGGCTTCAGCTTCACACTTGCAAAACCAGCATTTTTCCAGAGTATGGCCAGGGAGGGGAACGAATACTTCCAGAGCAGCTTTACACTACCTTAATAATGCTACATATTCCATCACCCAAGGAAGAGTGCCTTTTCATGCCCTGATTCATGCCCAAGTACTCACAGCTAGTATCTAAATATGTGAGATTGTGGAGAAGGTCTAGGAGATCCTTGAGCTTCAGGTCCCGAGATCCCTGACTATTGGCTATGCTGGCCGACTCTGTTGGGAGTTGTACTCGAACATACCAGTTTGGGGAACGCTGGCTCGCAGAAGGCATGAACTCCCATGCCTGTTTCATAGGCAGATCACTCCTCTTCACAAGCTAGAGCAGCCTTCCCCACCAAGTGCTCTCCAGGTACGCTTGACTACAATTCCCATCATCCCAAGCCAGCATGGCTCATGGGACTCAGATTAGGGGAGGCTGCTTCAAGCAGATGGGTTCATGCAAAGTTAATATTGCATTATAATTGCCAACAATACTCAGGAAGATGCAAACAATAGTGCTCAGGAAGATGCAATAAATGTGAAATTCCATGGTTTCCATGCTACATACATGAAAAAGGTTACAGTAGGAAGCAGACTTTTCTACAGTGCAAAGAAAATCAGTCCAGGTATTCGTTTGTTCCTTCATAGATTCCAGTTAAGTACTTAGTTTTCATGCAATCACAGACCACAGAGTTCTAAAAAGTAGCATTGCTTTATGAGGAAGAGTATCCTATAAACATTTTAAAAATCTCTGGTCTGTTTAGTCCAACAACAAAGGGCTGCTGCATCTTTAACTGCTTTAACAGAAACAAAAAATACTGAGGATTGCCAACATCTGAAATCCACTTGAAAGCACACAGCTCTTTCTTATGTTTCAAAGACTTTTCAGGAAAGGTGAGCTATTTGTCC